AATAAATAAATACTTATGTCCCTGACATTCCTGGAAATTTCCCTATGAAACCAAGATCAAGCTAGAGGTTACCCACTATGGCAAGGCTAAAAGCATAATGAATGAATGAATGCACTCATGCCTGCTGCACCAACACATTAATTTGTTCTTTTGAAGTGTGAATCTCTGTCAAACTTTCTAGGGTTAAGGGACACAAATGGTTTGGAAGCAAATTATGGTGGCAAACTTCCATCTTCGAGTTACTATATTGTTGGTTACTTGTCTGGAATAACCCTCTGACCTGGTTAACACATTGCACAAAGCCATAATTTTTTGGGAGGTTTAATGCATGGTTTGAATCTCACTGCATTCAATTCCAAAATAATGGCTTTCACAGCATATTTTGATCATTTAAATGCCACTACCCCAATCTGCTTTCTTCCCTGACCCTTCCTCTAAGATTCAGTTTGCTAAAAATGCTAAAAATTGTCTACAGATCTTACAGTGTGTGTATGTATGTATGTATATATATATAGTCCTTGACTTATAGCAGTTTATTTAGTGACCATTCTAAGTTACAAAAGCACTGAAAAAAGGGATTTATGACTATTTTCCATACTTACAATCATTACAACATCCTCACGATCATGTGATCAAAAATTTGGACACTTGGCAACTGCCTCATATTTATAACTGTTGCAGTGTCCCAGGGTCATATGATCACCTTTTCCAACTTTCTGACAAGCAAACTCAATGGGGAGGCCAGTTTCATTTAACAACAGTGTTACTAACTTAATAACTGCAGTGATTCACTTAACAACTGTGGCAAGAAAGATTGTAAAATGGGACAAAACTCACAACTGTCTCACTTAGCAACAGAAATTCGGGGCTCTATTATGATCATAAATTGAGGACTACCTGTATATATATCCTGGCTCTTTTACTCCCCAAAATATCATACCTTTGACTAAAACTTCCTTCCCACACAATCTCTTTTTCTTAATCTAGCTATCAGATATCTGTTTATCATTGCCAGACTTTTTTTTAAAAATCATTTTTAATGCCAAACAGTGTCGGTTTCTGTGGGTGAAGATGTTTGTATTAATTTCTTTATAGTTAAAGATCAAGCTAGACAGACAATGGAAAACCTATCAGTCAAACTGTCAATACGTGTAGCATATAAATACAGGAAACAAATAACTTTTGAAGAGAGTAGAGGAATCACAGAGACATTGACAATTGAGCTAGAAATACACAAGAGGCATCAACAGAAATAATCCGATATAGGCAAACTCCGGGAAGGACTATGCTAAAACCCTTTATCATTGTAGAATGATAGAAATATTATATTCTCAAATATAATATATATATAGAAAAATCATATATTCAGAATCCAACTCCACTAGAAAATGAAGTACTGAAGATAATAGGCCACCTGTCAAACAGGAGAGCATCAGAGGAAATATCAATGAAACCGTATAAAGCTGCAGAAAAAGAGGCAATTAAAGTGCTCATAATTGCATGTCAATGAATATATCAGTGAATATGAAATGAAATTATGTGACCTAAAAATTAGGAAAGATCACTGTATATGCCTACGCTGAAGAAGACATGCAAGACAATGTGCAAATTACTGAATCACTGCCCTAATTTCTCACACAGCAAAGTATTAATTTTTTCCCCAAAGTATGGAGCCATAGATGGAGAGAGAAATTCCAAGCTAACATGAGAAGGATAATAAAGGAAACAAGAAAATACAAAAAATAGCTGGATTTTTTTTTCATTGAATTATAGGCTACAGGTATGTCTGAACAAAGTGATTCTTTTAAGGAGTCTTTAGGAAGGAGGAGAAAAAGGAGGAGGAAGAAGAGGAGGGGGAGGGGAGAGGAGGAGGAGATATAAGAGCAGATTTCAGAGAAATAGAATAGAAAATATAACACAGATATATATTCCCAGAACATAAAGCGAATGGAAATGATGACAGCTGTAGTTAAAATTTGAAGGTGAAAACAATGATTTGGAAATACACAGATGATATCAATTTCTTAGCTTGGAGGTAAAGAAAATGTAGATGAGCTCTTAATTAAAGTAAAATGGAAATTAATATTTGAGGTTATAGTTAAATATTAAAAAGACCAAGATCATGTCAACCTGCAGGCTTAATGAATAAAGAAATGATAGATGATTTTATTTTTGTGGGTCCAAGAATAGATAAAAGAGGGCAGTTTGCTGGAGTAGAAAAATAGAGTTTAAGTTTAGAAATATAAGCAATAACAAGGTTAGGCAAAGTCATCAAAGAGAAGGATTACTAGAGTCATGGATATTTTATTACTAGATGATTTCAAGTAAATATTGGAGAGCCATTTGCCTGGGATGATATGAGGTTTCTTTCCCTGGGTGGGAAGTTGGACTAGAAGTGCCCTTCCAACTTTCTGATTCTAGGTTATTTAATAAAAAGAAAAAATGAATAAAGAAAGCAATACAGGTAGTCCTCAACTTAGGACCACAATTGAGCCCAAAATCTCCATTGTTAAGCAAGACAGTTGTTAAGTGAATTTTGCATTATTTTACAACTTTCCCTGCCACAGTTGTTAAGTGAATCATGCAGTTATTAAGTTAGTAACACGGCTGTTAAGTGAATCTGGCTTCCCCATTGACTTTGTTCATCAGAAGGTTGCAAAAGGTGATCACATGATCCCGAGACACTGCAACCATCATAAACACGAGTCATTGCCAAGCCTCTGAATTTTGTTCACATGACCATGGGGATGCTGCTGATTGTGAAGAACAGAGTGACTGCTTGGAGGATCACCTTACCAATCAATCCTGAATTAAAGAAAGGGTGATTGCTTGCTCAAGGTAGTAATCAGCAAGTAAAATACTTGGGGCATGTGACGAGACCGATGATGGAATAGAAAAAGACTCTGCATAATAAAAGTTGAGGGGTGGCACGGTGGCTCAGCGGTTAAGACGCTGGGCTTGTTGGCTGGAAAGCTGGCAGGTCAGGTTCGAGGCCCAAGCGCCACGCAATGGGGTGAACCCCCGTCTTCGCCTTAGCTCCTGCCAACCTAGCAGTTCAAAAATATGCAAATGCAAGTAGATAAATAGGTGCCACTTTGGTGGGAAGGTATCACCCCTCCATGACATCATCTTGGACACATGACCATGGGAAGGTCTTCAGACAGTGCTAGCTCAATGGCCTTGAAATGGATATGAAAATGCCCCCTCCCCACCCCCCACCCCCGCATAGCTGGCAATGACTAGCCAAGTAAAATCTGCCTTTATGATAAAGGTTGGGGGGAAATGATGACGTGGATGGATGAGAACAAAGAAAAATGTGCTAATTAGGAAGATTTACTTTCTGGGACCCTACAAGGGTCCTGAATTTAGACACTTATGAATGGATGCTGTCCTAATTTAAACAATCATTTTTACCGATTCAGTGGCCTCTAGATGCATTGGGATATCAACTGCTATAATCCTCCAGGCAACAGGGCAACTGACTATAATGCAAAAGGATGGGAATCCACCTGGATGCAAAAGGCTGTTGTTAAGATAATTCTACATTCAAAGAGGGAATGTGCTTATGGAAACCAGAATCTGAAAAATGTGCTAGCAGGGCCTTAGTCACCCATCATTAGCTGAAGAGAATAAACACTCCAGCAATTCTTCACAGCAAGTTCTTTTCCTATCCTTGCAAAAAGATGCCAAGCCTGAAATCATGAGCCTTAATTATAAGCAGTCTTGGTGTATGTGGAATGGAAGGGGAGAAAGAGAGGAGAGACAGATGCTGTGCATCAGTTTGGTTTTGTGAATAAATGAGCAGAGTGAATATGTCTAAGCAGGAATATTAGCATTACTGTCAAGACAGAATTGCAACAACGCCCTTCTCCACTGGTCCTGCTAGCTGGAACTGCTGAAAAGTGTAATTTAGTAAGCCCTGCAGTTATTCCATTACATTAAGGAGAAGAATTCCAGATTTTTTTACTGATGGCTGCTAAAACCTCATCTTCAAATTGCCATCGTTATCTTGCCTGTGCCATGGACCTTATGATTCTATGCAAGATGCACATGTTATGCTTCCATGTAAAAACGCTATAAGGAATTTTGTGTGACATCAGTGCCCACAAACTGCATGTGAGCGCTTCAGGGAAGTCCCTTCCCCCATGTACATTTCCCTTCAGCTGCAAAATTCTCCCCATGAGTGGCAGCAACATCTTCATAAATTGCCAGGTGGCATAATAGTTATGAGGAAGAAACCATTCAGGAGCAGCAGCTGTTTGGCTGGCTAAGAGGAATCCACTGGTGATGGAGTGGATGGTGAATGGCTATAGAAGTGCAAAGTCTTTCCAACTACATGTGTGTACATATGTATATACATGAGACAGAAAGAATGTGTGTGGAAAGTTGGATTGGCTTTTCTGGAGAGATGAGCTGGACAGTGGTCTCGCCTGTCTACTGTTGGCCTCATCCCAACTCCAGCCACATCTCCTGCAACACAAGTACAAGTATAAAGCCTTCCCAATTACATATCTTTCTCTCTTTGCATGTATGTGAGACAGAAAGAATATGTGTGGAAAGTTGAGTTGAGAGGTGAGCAAAAGAGTGATCTCATTTGTCTACTGCTGACCTCATCCTTCCCACTCCAGGCACATCTCCTGGAACAAAAGTAGAAACACAAAGTCTTTTCAATTACGTGTGTGTGTATGTGTGTGACAGAAAGAAAGTGCGTGGAAAGTTGAGTTGGGTTTTCTGGGGAGGTGAGAAGGGCAACAATATCATCTGTCTTCTCCAGGGCTGGCCTCATCCATTCCACCTCCAGGCACATTTCCTGGAACAAACTCCTTGCAACAACAAAACTGTTTGTATGAAGGAGCAGTAACGGGACGTGGAGTAGGAGACCAGCAGAAGACGCTAGAGAAGTCTGCAAAGTTGACTATTCCAAACAGAGTTTTGAAGAATTGCTGAAACTTAGCAAAGAGAAGAAGAGCAACTAGGAAGGGAATTCAAAGCACGCTTACCACCAGGCAGCTCCGCAGGCCCGCAGGTGTCTCTCTCTTCTCCCACATCGTAGACCCAGAGTTTCTTGTAGCAGAATTTCCACAAGCCGAAGTGGGCGGCCTCGCAGATGGCGGAGTGGTTCTGCTTGTAGGTGTTGAGTTCCACCCAGAATTCTGTGCCCACCGCCAACACCGTCAGGGTCATCCCCACGATGGCCACAAAGAATGCCAGCTTGATCTTGCCTTCCTGCTCGTCCGTCAGAACTTTCGGTCGTTGGGTGTCCCCCCTCCTGCGCATAGCTATGCGCTGCTCTCGGTCCTGAAGGAAAAAGTTTGGCCACATCATAGCCCCTTTTCCTGATCCCTGCTTGTTTAGGGAATCTATTTTGCCCGGGAAAAATAAAAGCTAGTTTGTCCGCTGCCTGTTAAACACTCAAGCTCTGAGCCAGGTTTTGTGCTTGGGTCCGTTGCCCAGCTTTTTCTGAGTTTTATCTAGGTCAACACACTGCAAGCAGTGCTGAAAAGTTGTTGAGCGCTCTCCCCGCACCCCTGTCTTTTCGAGGCAGTGCCCCCAACTTGGCAACGAGCACAGCAGCTACCTCAGCCACCCTGGTGCCTTGGCAAGCCTACAGAGCACCTGTTACTGTTTCTCAGCCATCATTCATGCAGCGAGGGTTATTTTGAGCTGCGAGGTTCATAGACAGTCTGAATGTGTTTGTGTGCAGGGGTATGGCGCTCTTAAAAAAGCAGACACTTAAATTGGATCCTTTCAGGAATGGGGGAGGCCCTCTTGCGCCAGCTGCCCACTCCCACAGCGCCCCCTGTTAGGCATGGAAGAGCTCAAGGCACCCTCCTTTGTCCCTCCACTCTGTGGAACTTGGTTTGCTTCCAATAGGCCTGGAAATCTTCTCAATGTGCCGGCTGTTTATCATGGGTAAACGTATCAAATCCTTTCGCTCTCCTCTTCATGCCCGCGCTTGGTGGGATTGACTGGAGGCAATGAATTATTGTCCTGGTTTGGTTTATTATTTTGAAATCCTACAAAGAAGTTAGATGTCCACTGGAGAAAGCACTGATTTATTTTCAGAGCAGCGTCCTGATGCGGCATTAAGTTGTGAATGTTGCCTTTATACCACACCGTTACTTTAAAATAGTCACATTTTGCGGAGTTCTTGGTATTGTTTGAACTTGGTTGTTTGCTTGTAGACATTTCATTACCCAATGAGGTAACATCATCAATGGTAGTGAGTGTGGGGCTTGCTCCCTTTTTACATACAGTAGCTTGCCAGTGTTGGTGGTGGCTTTGTTTTCTCCTTGGTAATTCCTTGTTTAGGGTATTGTTTTCTCAGGAATAGAGGTAGTCCTTGACTTACAACCATTTCTTTGGTTACTCTTCAAAGTTACCATAGCTCTGAAAAAAGTGACTCTCAGCCACTCCTTGCACTTATAAACAATACGGAATCCCCATGGTCACATGATCAAAATGTGGGTGCTTGACAACCAGCATATATTGTATGACTGTAAGCCGTCTCTAGAGTCACCTTGGTGAGAAGGTGGCATAAAAGTTAAACAAACAAAGAAACAAATAAATGTGCATTAATAGCAATAATGGATCACCATTATTGACCCTCTATTGGCTTCCAGAAAGCAGAGTCAATGGGGGGAAGCCAGATGTGTTTAAGGACTGCATGATTCACTTAACAACTGCAGTGAATTGCTTAAACAGGGGTCCCCAAACTTGGCAGCTTTAAGACTTGTGGACTTCAACTCCCAGAATTCTCCAGCCAACTATGCTGGTTGGAGAATTCTAAGAGTTGAAGTCCACAAGTCTTAAAGCAGCCAAGTTTAAAGACCTCTGGCTTAACAACTTTGGCAAAAAAAGGAGGTAAACCCAAATGCAATTCACTGAACAACTGCCTGGTTTAGCAATAGAAATTCTGGTCCCAATTTTGATCGTAAGTTGAAGACTACCTGTATTAGGAGAGTGAGTCCTTGGGGTATTGTGTCCTTAAGGTATTGAGCTATGTTTCTCTGTTTTCTGTTCCCTCTTATAATTCTGTGGAGATAATTATGGAGTTATAATAGCGGTCACAATAAAGTATAGGTAGTCCTTGACTTACAACAGTTCGCTCATTGAGGGTTCAAAGTTACAACGGCACTGAAAAAAATGACTTATCACACTTACAAGCATTACAGCACCCCATTGTCACATGTTCAAAATTTGGACGCATGGCAATTGGTTCATAATTTATGAGAGTTACAGTGTCCTGGGGTCATGTGATCCCCTTTTGCGACCATTTGACTAGCAAAGTCAATGGGGAAGCCAGATTCACTTAACAACTGCAATGGTCCACTGAACAACTGTGGCAAGGAAGGTAGTAAAATGGAGCAAAACTCATTTAACAAATGTCTCCCCTAGCAACAGAAATTTTGGGCTCAATTGTGGTCGTAAGTCGAGGACTACCTGTATGTGAAAATGTTTCTCCAGTCTTGATATATCCTTCATCTCCTGACTCCACCACCCTCAACTCTCAAACATTTGTGCCCAAAATGTCTCTGCACCTCTGTCCCCCTCCAAACAACTCTGGGTTGAAAGATACCTTCTCTCTTGCCACATCTTTGCTGTAGGTATCGCTCTCATCTTGAAGATGTTTTGAAAGTCCCTAAAAGCCTGGCTCTTCTCTTGAGGCCTTGCTCTTATTTTCATTGTTATGTATGGTTTTCTGTTTTCTCTACTTTATCTGTTTCTTTGCAGGTAGTCCTTAACTTATGACCACAGTTGAGCCCAAAATTGTTAAGTTGTTAAATGAGTTTTTCCCCATTTTCCGACCTTTCCTGCCACATTTGTTAAGTGAATCACTGCAGTTGTTACGTTAGTAACATGATTGTTAAATGAATCTGGCTTCCCCATTGACTTTGCTTGTAGAAGTTCACAAAAGGTGCTTAAATGAATCAGTTGCCAGCTTCTGAATTTTGATCATGTGACCATGGGGATGCTGCAACGGTCATGTGAAAAAAACTAACATAAATTCAATGCTGTTCTAACTTCAAACAGTCACTAAACGAATGGTTGTAAGTCTGGGAGTATTTTTTAAAATATATTTCTTACTTTTAAAATAGAAACTACCCACAACATTTTGGATCTGGGTGGCTTCTAAATTATATAAACAAATAATAGGAACTGAATACTTTTAGAATACTTTTGAACATTACTTTTTAATGTCTCTCTTTTCAGTATGAGGCTATGTCCTTCTGTTCTTGATTTTTGCTTAATATTGAAAATGAATTTCAATAATGTAAAGGATAATGTAGGTATCTTTGTGTTTTGTTCCCTTTGTATTTTTTTCCCGTCATTACTTTAAAAGCAATCACATTTATAAAAAAGCAAAAGAAGAAAATATATTAGTTCTTCCCCTCAATCATCTTATGAAAAATAAGAAAAGAGAACATTTTCTTCTTCCTCTCTCAAATATCATTGGGGTGCTAATCACACACACAATCTGATCTTCTCAACAACAACAAAAAAAGCAGATGTAGTCCCTTTCATGATCCCTTCATTTTGAAGGACCTATAGAAAACTTAATTTTTGTATTTCTCTTTCCTGCTGCTTATATAAATAATGTGCTTTTTTTCCTGGCAGCACCTCAGCAGTAAAACTGTTAAATTTCAAAAATGCATTGTATTTGGCAGCCCATGGAAAGCACACAGTGCTCTAAAGTCTAGGCATAAATTAATGGGAAGTAGGGAGGTAAAAACTAAGAGACCGATTTCAGTGGTGCAATTCAGCTGGTTCTGCCCGGATTGCACGAACCGGTAGTGGAGGCTGTGAGAGGCTCCGCCCACCTGCCCTGACATCATTTTTTACCCTCTGCGCATGTGTGAAACACTCTGCGTATGTGTGTAGGTGGCCCGTGTGCTCACATTTGCAAACCAGTAGTGAACGTAAGTGAATTCTACCCCCTGACCGGCTTGTAGTATGACTTGAATCATCAAAAAAAAAAGTGGTTCATTACCCCCTCTAAATAGCCCAGCAAGTTCAACATCGAGAGACACATGTCAATGTCGGGAGACACAGAATCCGGCCCATCTGCTGTAATGGCAGCTACTACCAGAAACATTTACCAATAATGACCCAGCTTTGAGATACCTGGAGGTGTGAAGCAAAAATAAACTGGATAATATGTGTATGAGACAAGTGCACAAATCTCGCTCTATCAGCCAGTCAGATCCATCGTAGACAGACTAGCATTTTTTTTTATATAAAAAAAAGTCAGAACATAGCAAGGGTGTCTGTAGGGCAAAGAACCCCAACTAGGTAGCCTCCAAAGGTGTAATCAAAGCTATACCTGTTTTGTATGTTCACATTTTAAAAAAAAAAGATTTTCAGTCATACCATTGCAGTTCCCGCCTTGGCATTTTTTGTCCCTACCTTGTAGATATTCTGATGTTAAATCCTTGGCTTTCTTTCACAGGGCCCCCTGAATGAGTAATTTATTCTCAAGGCACAAAACGTGTATGAGGCCTTTCTACCACCCACAGTTTGGATACGCTTCTCTCTCCCTTCAATAACATCTACCCACAAAGTGTTTTCATAGGACTTTATTTGAAAGGTAGATTCCAGTAAAAATCCATGCATTTGTTTGTTGCTATTATGATAGACAGACAAGTGTTTAGTTCTTAATGTTTTCTATTGTTTTTCCCTTCAGTCATGAGTTTCTCTGTGTAGCACACTCACTGGATTTTTGCCAGTGTTTTGTTCTTGTATTTTGAACACTTTTTTTAAAAATATGAAACCCACTTTATACAGAAAAACTTGGAACAGATGATACTTTTCCACTGAACAATGTCTCCTTTCTCTTTCCACATTTTAAATGTCCTTCATTCCCAAGAGTTTTTTTAAAAAAAATGATATCATTTTCACAAAAAGAATGAAAAAAAATCTCACCTTTCTCTACATTTTCTAAGACCTGCCTCCGAACAAAGAATAATACATTTTCATTAAAACATATAAGAAAAAAAAATACTAGTTCTCCAAAGCCTAGAAGAAACAGTAAACAGTTACTAACTGTTTTTCAGATTCCCATAATATTAGCTACTGAAAGAACAAAGCATGTCCCTAATGAACATCTTGGCAAACTGTATTTCTATTACCCAAACAATAAATTGCTCAAAGGTTTTAGTTACTCTTCATGACAAGTGATTGATTGATAATATGCCATCAAGTCATTTTTTATTCCAAGCAACCACACAGATAGCTTTTCTCCATGATAATTTAACAGCATCACAGAATAACAGAGTTGGAATGGACTTGGAGATCTTCTAGTCCAAATCTCTGCACAAGCAAGAAGCCCTATACGATTTCAGACAAATAGTTGTCCAATCTCTTCTTAGAAACCTTCAGTGTTGGAGCACCCACAACTTCTGGAGGCAAGTTGTTCTATTGATTAATTGTTCTAATTTATCTCTTCTTCAGGTCCTCCAATGGTGTCATGATGAGTAGCTGAGTTAAATCACCTTCTCTTCTGTCCTGGAATTCTGCATGAGTGACCCCCGGAGTGGCAATCATAAACTTGTTTACTAGGAAATATAAACCCCATTAGATGTAGGTCTAATATAGTAAAGACAAATAGGACTTTTCTATTAATTCTGTAACCTGTGAATTCCAAAGCAAAATTCGGTGGCCAGAATGATACTAATTCACTGAACAACCAGACAGTAAAGTTGCTTAGTCAGAAATCTACTGCTTCTAATTATACTTACTAACTAAGCAAGATTGCAACAGCCTTCGTGGGCTGTCTATGTAGTTTCAACTGATTTGAATATTTGTTTCACATATTGCAGAATGTGGATCATTTGGTCTATAGTACTTCTCATTCATGGAAGGAGAAGTAAGATTCTGGTGATCCATCTTTTAATTTACATTTAATTTTGGAATGTTACCAGATTATCTTCCAATCCATTTCCATATATATTAGATTACAGTTCTCCATTTTATTAATATCTATTTACCGAAACCTTCCCTGAGTCCGTGTTTTAGGGTCACTATAAAAAAATAAAATAAAAATAAAACAGTACCTATCTGGCACCCGACTGCCAGTCAACCCGCATAGGCTTTAATAATCTTGGTATAAACCAGCAACTTTCAGCTCTTGCTTTGTAGTCAAGGACGTAGCCAAAATAAACTTTGGGTGAGGATGTCACTAAGTGGAAGATGGGGGTAGTGATATATAAATTATACATTAGAGCAGTGTTTTTCAATCTTGGCAACTTTTAAGTTGCACGGACTTCAATTCCCAGAATTCCCCAAACAGTAGGTTTGGCTGGGGAATTCTGGGAGTTGAAGTCTATATATCTTAAAGTTGCCAAGGTTGAAAAAACACTGCACTGGCCCTTATGGGATCTCTGGGTGCTGCAGTGGTATAACAAGGAGATGCGATGTTGGCAGTGAGGATTTCCAGATTCAGGGAAAGCATCCACCAGTGAAGGAAATATGAGGGTAAGGAAGATCCTGTGTTTCACTACTGACCAAAAGTTTAATTAACCAAGTCCTATGAAACATCACAATAATTTCAATAGTCTCTTCATAAATATCTCTATGCGTATATTTGTGTCTGTGCACTTATAAATTTATCATATATGTAAAAAGTCTTCCTAGGAAGCTGATTCTGGGGTAGATAGGACTGAACAGAGATATAAACCATCTCTGTTTCTTTTAAAGTTCTTCCAGATGTAGAAAAGAAGATAATAACATTGGGAAAAATCTGTCAGCTGTTCTACTGCAGCAGCCTTCTCCAACCAGCTTTCCTCCAGATGTGATGAATCAGATCTCCCGTTATGTCGTCTGACAACTAGGGAACTACGGTTGATCGTGTCTGGGGAAGGCTGCTCTGTGGGGTGGACAAGACAAACCACAGGACTAATAATTGGCAGAATGTCACTTCAATATGGACAAGGGACAATTTTATAATACAGCAAGGATTCCCTCTTCTCCAGAGGCAGCTTCATATCAGGAAAAGCTATGGCTCGGTCTTAAGAGTTGGGCCAAAGTCAAGGATAAAAAGGAAGGAAATATGGCAAAACTAGTGGATTCGAAATACTTCTGACAACCACTAGGGGGCAGTAGGTCCATTTAGATTTTCAAACCCACCCACCCTTCTTCTTTTTGTTTGTTTGTTTTTTTGTGTTTTTTTGTACTTTTCTCCAGCACTGTTTTGGCACAAACTTTTGTCAGCCCTTAATTAAGCTGCAGTGGAAGAGAGGGTTTCCTTTTCCCTCTGGAGGAAACAAATAATCTCTTGATCCACACTGCAGCCCTAAATTTGGCACAGTATGCTGTGGAAGCCATTTGTAGGAGGCTTAGGAGTGGGGGCTGGGCCTTCGTCTACATTTGTCCCTTGGCAGGCAGTAGGAGACCTCTTCACCTAGTGTGTAAGAAGAATTGCCTTTCTTCCCCACGACTACAGAGTAAATAATCACAGCATTGCTTTTGGGTAGTCCAGGATCAATTCTGGTTCTCCTCAATGTGCCCGCTCGAAAGGACTGTGATGTTTGAGTAATTTCTTTTGATCTGGGTAATAAGAACTGGTGCACCCCTTTCCTGAAAGCCCCTTGGTGAGCATAGCCTGACTCCTTCATCTCTGTTCCAATAAAATTGTGATTTTGGATCCTGTGGTTGGGTCAATCAGAGGAGGTGAATTCCTGGTTAGGTGTTTGATTGGTTTTGGTTGAATGGATTGAGAGGGGAAGGAGAGGGAGAGGAGGGGAAAGGAGAGGAAGGAGGGGAGGGGAGAGAAGGTGATAAAGGAGGGGAGGAGAGAGAAAGGGATGGAAAGGAAAGAGAGGAGGGAAGAGGGGGAGGAATAGAAAAGAGAGGAGGGAGGGGAGGGGATGAAGGAGCAAAGCAAAGCAAAGCAAGCAAGAAAAATGCTCACTGGATGGATTGATTTCTCGCTTCTCAACATTCTGACTTGCCTGATGTCCTCTGAACAGTATTTTTTTTCTTCCCCTTTTCTCCTTCCCATGCCCTCTCCTCTCTCAAGTCCATCCCTACACTGGCGTGGTCTTCCTGTTGAGTGTGTTGGTGTTGGAGGAGGCATCTTTACCCAGGGTACCAGTGGCTCCTGCTACCCCAGGCCCAGTCACAGTGACTGTCACTCCAGGATCTTTGGGGAAGGTGTTGTGCAACTGTAAGAATCCGCCACCAGTCCCGGTCACCCCGGAGGTTGTTGCCCCTGTGGAGGCGGTCTCACTGGCACCGCCGTAGAGGGAACTGACGTTGGCCTTGGATGGGTCCCTAGACAGTGTGTACATAGAGATGTCGGTGGAAGGGAAGCCCTTCAGGCCAACGGGGGAGGTTTCTCGAGACTGGGAGGGCTCGGTGGAGCGGGAGCTGGAACGTGACCGGCGGCGGTATCGGAAACGGTAACTGGGCAGGCGTAAGATGGCTGAGGAGGAGGAAGAAGGGTTCTTCAAGAGTTCTGTGCGGCTTTTGCAATGGGCTTCGCGGTTTTTCTCAATGTATATGTTAACCGCCAGCACGCCAATCATCTCAGCCAGGATGAAGGAAAGGCCACCAAAATAAAAGGACCAGCCATAAGAATAGTGGCTCTTCTTCTCATCGTCACGTCTTGTGCCGGGATCACCAGTATTGGCTGAGATGTAGACGATGACACCGATGATGTTACTGAGGCCTATATGAGAGAGAGAAAGATTGAGAGAGGTTGACGATGGACTGATTAAAAAAAAGAGAGAGAAAGAGGAAGAACCCTAAACAGGTAGTCCTTGACTTGCAACCATTTGTTTAGCAACCATTTGAGGTTACAAATGAATTTTAAAAAATGACTTGCAACTAGGGGTGAAATGCTCCTGGTTTGGACTGGATCGCCTGATCCGGTAGCGATGGTGGCGGGTGGTTCAGAGAACCGGTAGCAAAAATCCCTGCGCCCCACCCCCCTCCACCATGCCCAGCTGAGCTGCACGATCATCAGAGGTTTTTTTTTTACTTTTAAAAGCATTTTTTCTACAACTTCTTCTGCCGAAAAAATGCTTTTAAAAGTAAAAAAAAGCCTCTGATGATTGCGTGGCTCAGCTGGGATCGTCAGAGAGGCTTTTTAAAAAATGCTTTGAAAAGCATATCTGACAATCAGGCAACTCAGCTGGGATTGTCAGAGAGGCTTTTAAAGCATTTTTTTCTGCAACCTCTTCAGCGGAAGAGGTGGTTAAAAAAATGCTTTGAAAAGCCTCTGATAATCCCAACTGTGTTGCCTGATTGTCAGATATGCTTTTCAAAGCATTTTTTTTGCATTTGCAGAAAAAATGCTTTGAAAAGTTTTTTTAAAAAAAGTTGGCCATGCCCACCCAGTCACATTACCCCCCCTCCCAAAGCCTTGCCCACAGAACCAGTAGTAACAAATTTTACATTTCACCCCTACTTGCAACCAATCTTTGTATTTACGATTATAGGTAGTCCTTGCCTCACACCAATTCATTCAATGACCATTTGAATTTACAACGGCACTGAAAAAAAGTGACTTATGATAGTAGATTTTAGGAGGAGCCCTCCCATTCTACTACTTCTTACAATACTATGTTTATCAATTGTCAATAGTAGAGACCTTCAAGTTTCTAGGTTCTATAATATCTCAAGACTTAAAATGGACATCTAACATAAAAAACATCATTAAAAAAGCACAACAAAGAATGTTCTTCCTGCACCAACTCAGAAAACTCAAACTGCCCAAGGAGGTGCTGATACAGTTGTACAGAGGAATTATTGAGTCTGTCATCTGCACCTCTATAACTATCTGGTTTGGCTCTACAACCAAACAAGACAGATACAGACTTCAGAGGATAATTAGAACTGCAGAAAAAACAATGGCTACCAGTCTGACTTTTGTTGAGGACCTATATACTGCACGAGTCAAAAAGAGGGCTGTGAAAATATTTACAGACCCCTCACATACTGGACATAAACTGTTCCAACTTCTTCCCTCAAGAAGATGCTATAGGGCACTGCACCCCAAAACAAGTAGACATAACGATAGTTTCCCTACCCCCCCATGCCATCACTCTGCTAAACAACTGATTCCTACAATACTGTCAAACTACCTAGTAGAACTATATTACTATTCTCATCTTTAAATTCTCATCTTTATTTCTCATCTTTAAATTTGTTGCTTGTATCTTATGACTTATATTGTTTTATTTAGTATCCTAGTATGATTTATGTTGCTTATTTAGTATCCTATGACTATCACCAAGTATTGTATCTTATGATTTCTGAGGAATGTATTTTACGATATTATGATCATGATTTATCACTTGTTGCTTGTATGTACACTGAGAGTTTATGCACTGGAGATAAATTCCTTGGCCAATAAAGAATTCCATTCCACTCTACCCTACCCTACCCTATTCTTATTATTAATGACCATGTTACACACTTATGACTGTTGCAGCATCCCCATGGTCACACCCCGTGGTCAAAATTGAGTTACTTGACAATTTGCACGTATTTATGGCAGTGTCCCAGGATAATCATCTGATTATCTTTTGTGACCTTCTGACAAGTAAAGTCAATGGGGAAGCCAGATTCACTTAACACCCATGTTACTAACTTAACAACTGCAGTGCTACACTTAACAATTGTGGCAAGAAAGGTTGTAAAATGGGGCAAAACTGACTTAAGAAATGTTTCACTTGTCAACAGAAATTTTGGGCTCAACTGTGGGCGTAACTCAAGGACTCCCTGTACTGCAGCATCTCCACAGACCCTTAATCGAAATTCAGGGACTTAGCATCTGGGATGTATTTACGACAGTTGCCATGTCTCAGAATCATGGGATTGCCAATTACGACCTTCCCAGTTGACTTCCAATAAGCAAAGTCAATGGGGAAAGCCAGATTTGCTTAACAATCACATGATTCACTTAACAACTGCAGTGATTTGCTTAACAACTGTGGCAAAAACAGGTCATAAAATTGGGTCATTTAAGAACTGCTTTGGTTAGCAATGGAAATTCTGATTCTAATTGTGGTCATAAGTCAAGGACTACCTGTATGACTTTTCAATAGCAGGACTATAGCTGCATAGCTTCAGATTAAAGCATCTCTGGCAATTGTTGATTTTACTTCATTTGTATTGGCAGCTGTCCCTTTAAGAGATAGGATAGGACAAGAACTTCTGAACCTTTTCCTCTCCCTCTTTGATGGGAGGGAACGGGTGTTTTGTTTTGTTTTTTTAAGTAAAAATAGCTTTGCTAAGGCTATTGGAGAGTAATACACTAATTTTACTTTTGTTTTTTAAAAGCTGAAAAGCATACTGGTATAATTTGGTAGTTTCCTACTAATTTGAGAAGCTTTGAAAGCTACCAAGCTTTCAAAGCTTTCAAAGCTTTCTCTCTCTCTCTCTCTCTCTCTCTCTCTCTCTCTCTCTCTCTCTCTCCTCTCCCTCCCTCCCTCCCTCCCTCCCTCCCTCTCTCTCACAGGGTTGGACTGTGGGGTCCTGAGCTTTGTGGTTATCTTGCAGATATTTCATTACCCAACTAGCTAACATCATCAGTGCTAAAGGGTGTGGGGTTTGCATCATTGATGATGTTACCTAACTGGGTAATGAAACATCTGCAAAAAAATTAAAAAAAAGCACCAAGCTCATAATGCACCAAGTATTGCAAACATTGTTCTTCAAGGCTTCACATTCTGAAGAATCAGCCATTTCTATTGGTACTTGGTAGTCCTTGACTTTAGCTCCTGGCTTCCTTTGGGTCCTGCTGATAACTGCCAGGATGCAGATTTTGATTATATGGCTGGTTGAATGGAAAGATAGAGGATTCATTACCATTTGGATGTATACAATGGGTGGAGTAGGAAAATGAAAAGGTCTGGAGGTCATTTAAAATCCTTACCTTATTTACAGGACTGGAAAAGGAAGAGATAGATAAATCGACGGATGAACAGCATTCTTTATTTAAAAGAGCAGGAAGATGGAAAAAACATGACATATCTATGAGCATGAAATAGTGCGATATATGGGCCTAGCCCCTTCATATGGTAAAGCCATTGGGCTCTGTAGCACAACTAGGACATACAATTCAATTGGTAGTACAGGGGTTTAAGGCACCCTGTTATTAAGCTGGTTATTAAGACCAGCTGCCTGCAATTACTGCAGGGTTCGAATCTCACCAAGGCTCAAGGTTGACTCAGCCTTCCCTCCTTTCTAAGGTAGGTAAATTGAGGACCCAGTTGTGGGGTCAATAAGCTGACTTTGTTTAAATATACAAAAGGATGAAGGCTATTGCTGAGCACATTGTAAGCCGCCCTGAGTCTTCGGAGAAGGGCGGCATATAAATCAAATTAAAAAAAAAAAAACCCTTCCATATCGAGCAGGAAAGAAATTATGACAAATAGGAATGTTCCAATTTTGCTTTTTCAAAAGGCAACTGGACTTCGTTTTCCCTTGAAGATGTTTCACTTCTCACCCAAGAAGCTTCTTCAGTTCTCCAGTTCTGAAGAAGCTTCTTGGATGAGAAGTGAAACATCTTCAAAGAAAAATGAAGTCCAGTTGCCTTTTGAAAAAGCATCTTTGGGAGAACCATGACCTGGATGACTGAGAATCTCCATAGACACACAGGAAAGCATATGAAATCAGAACGGCTTTCCCCCACTCTAGACCTATTCAGGTCAATCAAGCCTGCAGTTCCAAGAATTGCCAATTACATTTCTGGTTACTGCTGTCAGAACACAACCAGAAGAGGAAAGTGGTGATAGTTGAAAAGCTGAAGAAGGATGCATGAAGTGGTACAAAGCGAGTAATGGATCAGGAGAGGTGGATTACAGGATGAAGCATTTGGCTGAGAGACAGAGTTCTGATGAACAAACTCTGTATGGCACTAATCTCTCTAGCGATCCAGAGGGGACAGTTTGCATCTACTCACTGTACAGGCAGTCCTTGGCTTACGACCGTTCATTCAAAGAGATGATGCTGTTGAAAGAAATGACTTGGAACCAGTCCTTGCGCTTCAGGACTGTTGCGATGTCCCCAAGGTGACATGATTACTATCTGGTTGCTTGGCAACCAATATGTATTTATGATGGTTGCATTATCCCATTTGATCACTATTTGCAGCCTTCCCAGCTGGCTTCCAACAAGCAAAGACAATGGGGGAAGCCAGATTCACTCAACAATTGCAGCGAGAAAGGTGGTAAAATTGGACACAATCACATGAGGACTCACTTAATGACCACACCACAACAGTAGTGACTAATGTTATGGTCCCGATTGCGGTCGTAAGTCTGGTAAGGACTACCTGTATTATCCTCACTATACAACTTACCTGCAGCAACAAACAGGATGCCAGCACCTAGAATAATGTTGCGCTTCGACTTGTAGACACGGCTGGCAGCTACGCAGAACCCACCCAGCAACAGCAAAAGAGCACTTAGGATAGGAAAGATGCTTGAGGCTCGTACCACTCCTGTGGAGGGAAGGGGGTGGGAAGGAGGGAAGGAAGGAAGGAAGGAAGGAAGGAAGGAAGGAAGGAAGGAAGGAAGGAAGGAAGGAAAAGAAGAATATAAAACGACACGAAACATGTCTCAGAGCAAAATTTTTACACATGGGAAATTGGCAACTGGAGACAATTTTGAGGTAGTCTTATTCGTGATATTGGATGATATTCTTTGCATTTTCTCTTAAGTTTTAGTTTTGTCAGGCTATCAATGTCTACAAACGTTAAAGCAGTGGTGGTCCCTTATGACTTATGGACTTCAACTCCCAGAATTCCTGAGGTAGCAGGGCTGGCTCAGGAATTCAGGCAGTTGAAGTCCACAACTCATGAAAGGGCCCCAGCCCTACACTAAAGTATGGGGTCTGCACAAACTCACGAGCAGTCCTCATGAGCTATGCCAGGGGTGTCAAACTCAAGGCCCGGGGGCCGGATCTGGCCCATGAGATGCTTAGATCTGGCCTGCGGAGCCACCCTGGAAACAGCAAAGGACCGGCCTGCGGTGTCTCTGCCAGCGAAAATGGAGCTCTGGAGGGCTTTGTGTGGGCCTCCCGAGCTCTGTTTTTGCTGGCAGAGGGTTGCAGGAGGCTGTCATAGCTGGAAATGGCGCTCAGGAGCCTGTTTTCGCTAACAGAGCGCTCGGGCCACCACAGACCCCCCGACACCAATGATGTTGAGCTGGCCACACCCACGCCCACCGAGGCCCCCCAAAGTCAAACACAGTTCTGATGTGGCCCTCAATGAAATCAAGTTTGACACCCCTGAGCTACACTATAAAATTTGTCTTACATGTTATGTTACACCAAATATGCCTGAACTAACTATGACCTCCATAAAGCTTGTTTCATTTACATGGCAGGCCCCAAGCACACATGGCAAATTTACAGAGTCTCTGTCAAAAGGTGATAAAGATCCAGAGACATCCAGTTTTATATTCTAAATCTCCAAATGCCTTTTTAAAAAGATTGGATATTTTAAAATATATTTTAAATTATATTTAAAAGTATTGTATAGTAATCATTGGATGTTGCAAACAATGTTTATTCCTTCTTGTGCCAGAGAAACAGACAGGAATGATTAGTAAAGAGCTTGCAACTGAACATTAATGAGAACCCAAATCTTCAAAGTTGACTTGAAACTCTTTTTTGTATTGTTTTTCATGGGTTAGTAAAGCTATTCCAATAGATCAGTAGTGGGTTGCCCCCCGGTTCAGACCGGTTCGCAAGAACTGGTAGTAAAACCAGTGGGAGGCTCCACCCACTGACCTGGACGTCATCATAAGCGTTCTGCGATGCGCAGAAGCTTCTGCACATGCGCAGAAGAGTGCGAGCGGACACAAGCGGGCACGATGCGAACCAGTAGTAAAGGTAAGTAGAACCCACTCCTGAGTCAGATGATGAGGTGGAAATTGTCTGTTCACTTGTTTTTGATATGGAAAATGTTATTTCACTCTGGATTTATAACTGGTGGTTACTCTGTTAGGATTAATCTAAATCTGGATAGGAACTGTAGTTGTGACTGCTGGGATGCAGTTTTGAGTTTTACCGCTGGGCAGAAAGGTCTCTATCCAGGTTAATGCATTTTGTCTTTTGTAGAACTAATCTATTTTTATACGATTGTAATGCCTAATAGAACGTTCATTTTTTAAATAGTTAATATTGAAGTAAGCGAGCTGGCTTGCTCTTTGTCCCCAACCTGTTCTTCACATGTGCTAGATTACTTATTCATGGTAGCTGAAGATGATAAGAATTTTAGTCCATTTTAGTTGGATAAATTTAGATCCCTGATAAGAGGAAGGGGAAGGCATTGGCTAGTCCAGCAGTTTTCTTGGCAAGGTTTTTCAGGAATGGTTTCCAATTGCTTCCTTCCTAGAGCTAAGACGGACTGGCTCAAGGTGGCTCAGCTGAATTTGTGCCTCAGGTGTGACTAGAACTCCCGGGTTCCTCATCCCCAACTGGGTGCCTTTAACCGCTTCACCAACTATCTCTTTTTCCTAAATTTGGCCCACAATAAATCTGCAAAACAGCTCCATTTGCCAGCTCCATTACTGTGGCAGAATAGGAATTGGCAACAGAGGCTTATGCTAGCAAATGTCCTTGCCAGCAACAGGAGTGATGGAGATTGTTTAAATTTGTCAAGTGAGAGAAAACCCTCAGAGTTGCATCCGCAGCCTTTTATATCCAAAAGAATCCTGCGAACTGAATTGTTGAGACTGTTAGTAAATGAAATTCTCAAAACATGATGGAACAAAACTTAAACCTGTAGATAGTCTAAATAGAATCAAACATCCTAATTCCTTAGGTTCTGAAAAAGCTGAGCCAAATCCGTAAATACTGTAATTTCTCTGCTTCAACCCCACTGTCTGCATTTTAAAAGTAACCGGACAACCCACTGAGTTATCTTTTCAAAGACATTTCCTTAAACTGAGAAACAGAATGACCACGGATGGGCAAAAAAGTAGGAGCGGGAATGACTTCTGACTTCCTGATGGCTTCCCCATTGATCTTCCTTGTGGGAAGCTGGCAAGGAGTATTTGGAAATGATGATCACACAGCTGTGGCTGACTCTGTCCACACTGCAGTAGTCACAATTTTGTGAAAACAATTAGTGTGAAGATCCTTGAAATTTCAATTACATAGGAGTAATGAGTCCCAGATTCTGTATGCATTTTTTAAACTGGCGGACTTGAGGTACCTGATTCAAATATTTTTGCACTATGATATACTGTACCATTTGGGCTAATTGAAGGTTACAAGCAGACAAAGAGACAGGAAAGTATTATTAGAATATAGATAACACCATTTTTATGGGATTTTTCAAAGGATTCTAGGATTATAATAATGACACACATAATAGATTTTAAACACTTTAGAATAACAGGGAAAAAGCACGCACAGTATTAAATCAACAGATTTTACTTAGAGAGTCAGATTGGTTTGGCAATTAAGATAGATGAAGCCCGACACATTTCAAAAATACCGAGATGTTATTCTTTATAGCCGTAGAAGGATATGGAGATAGCCTTGAATAACAGTATGCAGCAAGTATTAAGAAAACACAGGTAGTCCTTGATTTACAACAGTTCATTTAGTGACCATTCAAAGTTACAATGGCACTGAAAAAAATAACTTATGATCTTTTTTCACCCTTATAACTATTGCAGCATCCCACTGGTCATGTGATGTAATCACTCTTTGCCACCTTCTGACAAGCAAAGTCAATAGGGAAGCCAGATTCACTTAACAACTGTGTCACTAACTGCAGTGATTCACTTAACAATTGTGGGAAGAAAGGTTGTAAAATGGAGCAAAACAGAAATTTTTGGGCTCATTTGTGGTTATAAGTCAAGGACTACCTGTATGAATTTTGCCAGTAAAAACCGGAAGGCATGAAAAAGAAACTCAGGATTCTACCACCTTGATTCTCTTTAGTATAGGAAAAATGCACATTGGGTCTCTCATGCGTATCATTAGTCTATGGATGATGGGCTAGTGATGGCCTTGTTTCCCTTCTATCTCCTTGCCACCACTAGAATAAACTGACCAGGGAAGTGATGCTAGTGTCCAGGAGCAGCATATGACCTATCCTTTGCTTCTTCAAGTGATGCTTTAAGCCCGTGATGGTGAACCTATGGCACGTGTGCCAGAGGTGGCACGCAGCACCCTCTCTGTGGGCATGCAAGCTGTCGCCCCAGTTCAGCTCTGCTGCACATGCGCGTGCGTCTCCTGCCAGCCAGCTGGTCTGTGTGCATTGCATTTTGGGGGGTTGGGTGCGTACGCACACATTTGTGAGTGCACACATGCACTTTGGGCACTCAGTCCGGAAAAGGATAGCCATCATTGCCCTACACCATTTCTGACAGATGGCAGTCCAGTCTCTTCTTGAAAGCTTCCAGTGATGAAGCTCCCACAACTTTTGAAGGCAAGCTGTTCGATTGGTTTATGTTATGTTATGTTACATTATAATTACGTTGGCTTTCATGAAAATGGGCTGAATATTTTCCAAGGACATGCAGGAATTTTGTGGATAAAACATTCTCTGTGTAATTGTGTTGAAATACAAGCATTAATGGCAATTATTAATTATCCCCAATTTTGAGTTTGGTGTCCTGTCTCCCATAGTGATCAAAGTATTGGCTCTGCAAAGCAATGTGTGGGTGGATATATTCAGTTGTATTGGATCCATTGATTGATCCATCAATCCATTATTGATCCATCCATCCATCCATCCATCCATCCATCCATCCATCCATCCATCCATGCAATTTAGAGCAGTGTTTCTCCACCTTGAGAACTTTTGGATGTACGAACTTCAACTCCCAGAAGTCCCCAGCTAGCATTCCCATGCTGGCTGGAGAATTCTGGGAGTTGAAGTCCACACATCTTACAATTCTCAAGGTTGAGAAATAGTAGTCTAAATTGCTTGGATTTATGGATAAATGGATGGATGGGTGAGATTATATATGCTGATTTAGAAACTACCCAACTCCAGAAGTCTCTGGCTCTCTTACAATGTTAAAGCAGGAGACAATCAAGAACAAAGAACATGCACATCCCAAAGACAAAAACTGAACTGGATAACATCCCATAGAGGCTGAGGCCTACCTTCACACATCTTGGGGAAACAGCCAGGTTTTCAACATTTTGAGCATCTTCAGGGTTGGAACTGTATGGATGTCTTGGGGGATAATGTTAGAACACCACAACAAAAAGGCACCTAATTGGATGGGATTATATTCCCTTTGGGATTCAGTATTTTTTTTTTTTTTTTTTACTGTCTGGAGCAGATTTCTCAACAGTGCCCTTATTAAGACAAAATGGTTTCCTATCCATTACTGATAGTCCTTGACTTACAGCCATTCATCCAGAGACCATTTGAAGTTACAACAACATTGAAGTGACTTAACAATTCATCCTCAAACTTAACGATTGTCACAGCGTCCCCATGGTCACGTAATCAAAATTTGGGTGATTGACAACCAGCATGGAGCTTTCCAGGGTCCGGTGATCTTGTGGTTTTTCCCGGTTGGCTTCTGATAAAGTCAGATTGGGTGAAACCAGATTCACTGAGTGACCGTATGATTCCTTAAGAACTGCAGTGATTCACTTAACAACCATGGCACAAAAGGTGGTAAAATTGCACATGACCCACTTAAAGCTGCCTTGCTTAACAATAGAAATTCTGGTCCCAATTGTGGTCGTAAGCTGAGGACTACCTGTAGTTACATGAAAACCTGACATGCTCTTTAAACTGTAAACTGCATTTTAAATGCAGCTTTGTAACAGCAAATGGTATAAATAAGATTCACTAGCAAATAGGATAATATTGATTATATTACATGAATGATGTATTCCTCACCCTGCATAAATAGTGAATAAAAGTGACATCTTTGCTAAGAGATGTTCAACTCCTGGTGATTTGTTGAATAAAGCCACACAGTTTTCTTGGCAACTTTTCAGAAAAGATGTGATGCAGGCACTTTCTAGAAAGGTTTTCAACTTCCTTGTTTAGCCTATACTGTAGCTCTACAATTCCCCAATGAATACACACTGAAGTATTAACTAGCTTTGATTTTGCTTAGCTTTAGAGTCAAGATAAAGTCAGCAGAATACTGATTACTAATTGGTAAAGTGTAAATTTATTTACCCCATTTATTTACCCAAACCTGCCTAGACATTAAACTTAGGATCAGAAATAAGGCCCAAAGATCCATCATTAATAAAGTTCTGATGAGCAAATTTATTCCCCCCACAATCCCCCCCTCGAATTCTTTTCTACTCAATCTATTATTCAACAATCACAGATGTTGAATTCTTTTCCAAGGAGGATCTAACAAGCACTTTCCCGCATTTGGGGGGGGGGACCCCTAAAACATAAAGTGAGTTTTAAAGAAAACTTCCCAGTTGTGAAACTACTGTACATAAGCAGGCTTTTGATAAACCCAATCAGATCTTTCATATAATTGATGCTTGTTTTGATTGCGATCTGCAGGTATATGCTGAGGTTTTGGATACAGAGGTGTATTTTTAGAATGTATAAAAATTGCCTTTTATTGTTATACGGCTTCTTTACAGATATGATGGAAAAGAATAACTTTTGTCCAGCATCTGGAAATATACAAGGTCTTGCTTTTTTTTGCATCTGGAATTTAGCTCTTAGGTCAGTAGCCTAAAATAATTATTCTTTTGCAGTGGACTGTATAAGCACATTATCTCTCGCTGACCCCACCATAGGTTAACTTCCTCTGCAGATATTGGTGTCCCTTGCTTTTTGACCAGGAGGTAAAATTTTAATATTAGAAGACTGCAGGAAAGGGAGCGAAACCAAGAAGGCAGCAATATGGATCATCATATTCCCCTTGTCCTTTGGCATATAGAAAGCAATTAAACAGCCATTGTCGTAATTTGGCTGGAGCCTTACTCTGAAGCATAATTCACATAATGAAGATGCCAGCCCTACTTTCGTTATTCATGTGTGTCAGGGGTTACATCCAGCAGGCTCTGACAGGTTCTGGAGAACCGGTAGTAGAAATTTTGAGCAGTTCAGAGAACCGGCAAAGACCACCTCTGGTTGGCCCCAGAAGACCACCTCTGGTTGGAAGGAATGGAGATTTTACAATATCCTTTCCCCTGGAGTGGGGAGGGAATGGGAATTTTGCAATATCCTTCCCCCAGGAGTGGGAAGGAAATGGGGATTTTGCAGTATCTTTCCCCTGGAGTGAGGTGGGAATGGAGATTTGCAGTATCCTTCTCCTGGAGTGGGGTGGGAATAGAGATTTTACAATATCCTTTCCCTGGAACGTGGAGGGAATGGGGATTTTACAATATCCTTCCCCCAGGAGTGGGGAGGAAATGGGGATTTTGCAGTATCCTTCCCCTGGAGTGAGGTGGGAATGGAGATTTTGCAGTATCCTTCCCCCGGAGTGGGGTGGGAATGGAGATTTTGCAGTATCCTTCTACTGTCATGCCCACCAAGCCATGCCCACCAAGCCACACCATGCCCACCAAGCCACGCACACAGAACTGGTAGTAAAAAAAAAAGAATTTCACCACTGGGGTGTGTGTGTGTGTGTGTGTGTGTTGGTGCTGGTGGAAGGTGGGTGGTGGTGGCAGAAGGAGTCCCATGAGAAGTCATACTAGAGTACTCAGAAGTTTGGATAGGCTGCACCTATGTTGCTGTGGTTTCTGTATGATTTGCCAGGCATTCTTATTCTCAAAAGAGGATCCTTCTCTGCAGTATGACAGTCTCCAAAGACATCTTCACTCCTTCACCACTAAAACAAAAATTGCATCCCTTTTATAGGAAAGGAAACCAATACATCTGTAAGGGCTCAGTAGCCCTATGGTGTCCTTGAGGACTTTATTCTACTAGTCGTTACAGTCCAGCGCCCATTCCCTATCCCACCATAGAGAGGGGGAGCTCATCTCCGTTTCAAGGCTATGAGCCAGCGGTTTACAAAGACATTTCCACAGATATGTGACCAGCATGACGTCACAGAGCTCTGTTACCTTCCCACAGAACTGGTATCTATTTATCTATTTGCATTTACCTGCTTTCGAACTGCTAGGTTGATGGGAGCTGGAGCAAGGATGGGAATTCACCCCATCGCATGGCACTAGGGTCTCAAACCTGGGCTGCTGGCTTTCCAGCTGAAAAGTCCAGCATCTTAATTGCTGAGCTGCTGCACCACCCCTTCCCTATGGTGGGATGCCATAGAATTCCATACACTTCAAAGAACAACGGTGACAGGGCATTGCTGAGGCCAAGATACAAGAATGAATAAGCCACCTATTTATACATACGTAGGAGGTATTCCGCACTGTCGTGATCATAGTCTGTGTCCTCTGGAAAATGGTTGATTTTCACACACACCCCTCGCTTCAACCCTGCAAACAGGAAGAGACAAATTACCAGCTGTTTGGGGATTAGAGCACAGTGTTAGTTGGCATTATGCTGAAATTAACCCATTGCTGGATTGCCAATGATGCTACTTTCCTTTTCATTCCCAGTCTTACCAGAGCATTTCTCAGCATGACGGGAACAACATGCCCCAAATTTGGAGGTCATTGAGTTACAGAAGATCATTTGAACCATTTTAAGTTAATTTACCAAGCTGATGTTGGATCTATTCTCTCATGCCATGCCTCTACTATTAGATGCTATCCCAGCCACCCTATCCCCCTTGCAATGTCTGACTGTGATACCGGGAACAATTATTTAGGACAATCCTTTTTGATGAGCTTTTCAGTCAGCTATATCAATGTTTCTCAACCTCAGCAATTTTAAGATGTGTGGACTTTAATTCCCAGAATCCCCCAGCCCCCAGGTGGCTAGGGAATTTTGGGGACTTGAAGTCCACACATTTTAAAATTGCTGAGGTTGAGAAACATGTGCTATATCGTCAGTGGATGCTGGAATAAGATTTATATAGTGAGTACACACGTGTTACCAATTTTGCATCCATAACCTTTAAGTGTTGCTGAGCCCACTCACAAGGAAGACTTAAAGGTTTCAGATGATTAACTCTGGTGGCTTTAAGGTGGGGTTAGAAAAATGCCTGGGGGGACTGGAGCTGGTAATAGATGCTTAGCTGAACCTCAGAAAGGCAACGGGATAGAATTTCTATAGGTTAGATGGCTATGACAGCAGAGTCATTGAGCAAAACCTCTATGCCCCAAATGCCTTCCTACTCTTTTCACAAGACAGGATAGAGCTGCAGTTCCATTTAGTGTTTTGGAAAAAGAAGAAGAAATCACTACAATCCCATACTTGAGTGTTTTATCTAATCAATCCCTGAAATTGTATTGGTCACTCTCAGTCTATTGTATCCCTCCTCAACTGAAGCCCAACCAGCATATTAAATTCAAAGCTGCAACTCGCCGAATTTACGGTACTGTATCTAATTTGCTTCTTTTAAAGGCCTTGCTTGTTAATGGCTTATGTATCCCTTTTTAGCTAAAAGCCAGCAATATTTCTTCTACAACAAATGTAAAACCAAAGTTGTAAAACCCTAATTAAAATGTATATTAGTAAAAGAACTGTAGAATACTGAAAATAATTTAACAAGCCAAATTAAATAAGTGCTTCTTAATGTAATTGGGAAAATGTTGAAATGCCATCTTTAGAGATTGCATCTTCTGTAGGAGAATGAAAAGAAGGGAGAAGCTATCTTATGCCTGTCAGATGTTTAGAATGTCAATACCCATTAGTCCAGCTAGAGTGACCAGAGGCAAAGGATTATGGACATGGAAGTCCAAAACATCTGGTCGAGAAGAATTATATCTCTTTGTGATATGCCTAAATTTTCTCCTACTTGAGAGCATCCAAATGTGTTGGCCTTCGATTCCTGTGTCATAAGCTATGTCAACTAGAAGATTACAGAAGTGAAAAACAACACTTGAAGAGTACAGATAGTCCTCGACTTATAGACTGGCTGCTTAAGGACCATTCAAAGTTACGACAGATATCCCCAGAGCTACTTATGCCCTGTTTTCAAAGTTAGACAGCTGCACACATGCACAGACACACCATAGTCATGTCCCAAAGGTGCTTTTTCAAGAGGCAACTAACAGAATATTAACAGAGTAACAGAGTTGGAAGGGACTTTGGAGGTCTTCAAGTCCATCCCCTTGCTTAGGCAGGAAACCCTAGACCACTTCAGACAAATAATTATCCAATCTCCTCTTAAAAACTTCCAGAGTTGGAGCATTCACAACTTCTGGAGGCAAGTTGTTCCACTGATTAATTGTTCTGTCGGGAAATTTTTCCTTAATTCTAAGTTGCTTCTCTCCTTGATCAGTTTCCACCCATTGCTTCTTGTCCTACACTCAGGTGCTTTGGAGAATAGCTTGACTCCCTCTTCTTTGTGGCAGCCCCTGAGATATTAGAACAATGCTATCATCACCCCTAGTCCTTTTCATCAAACTAGACATACCCAGTTCCTGCAACCGTTCTTCATATGTTTTAGCTTCCAGTCCCCTAATCATCTTTGTTGCTCTTCTCAACACTTTTTCTAGAGTCTCAACATCTTTTTTACATCGTGGCGACCAAAACTGAATGCAGTATTCCAAGTGTGGCCTTACCAAGGCATTATAAAGTGGAATTAACACTTCATGTGATCTTGATTCTATCCCTCTGTTTATGCAGCCTAGAACTGTGTTGGCGTTTTTGGCAGTTGCTGCACACTGCCGGCTCATATTTAAATGGTTGTTCACTAGGACTCCAAGATCCCTCTCACAGTTACTACTATTGACCGAGGTACTACATATACTGTACCTGTGCATTTTGTTTTTCTTGCCTAAATGTAGAACCCCATTTTTTTCACCATTGAATTTCCATTGAAATAGACTTACTGGTCTTTCTTTGAAGATGTTTCGCTTCTCATCCAAGAAGCTTCTTCAGTTCTGAGAAGATCTTCTTGGATGAGAGCTTCTTGGATGAGAAGCAAAACGTCTCAAAGAAAAACCAGAAAGTCCAGTTGCCTCTTGAAAAAGCACCTTTGGGACAACCGTGACCTGGATGACTGAGAATCTCCATAGATACCATGGTCATGTGATTTTATTTTGGGCACTTGGCAACAGGTTCCTCTGTACTGTTGTTGTTTATGTGGCCATGATTTGTGATGTTGTTTGCCAGTTTAAGCATTTACTTCCAGTTTCTGGCAAAAAAAAAAAAGAAAGCCCATTGAAGAAAATGGTTTCACTTAAGGATTGTGTCATTTGCTTAACAACCGCTGCAAAAAATGTAAAATAAATAAATAATCCGGTCCAATCACGTCAATTTGTAACCACAATATCTTACGATCATAATTCCAGGCTGGGTGAGGGTTGTAAGTTGAGGACTATCTGTACCAGATAAGAGTATATTGATTTAACACTTTAATCAGGGAATTACGTCTATTCTGGAGAAAATGGATTTGCCCCACAGCACAGGGATGGCTAAAAGGAAAATAGAAAAACTACTGGGTCTACCCTTATGAAGGCTCACAACATTGAAAGGCAAAGTCAGGGTGAAAACACAGGTTTTCACTGAGATGATGTGTGTGGGCAACGTGCCAGCCTGTTTACTGTTATGTAGGTGAGGTGAGGAATTCAAGAGCAAGACAGTGCTTTATATGAATAAAATATACATATTTATACTTAGTATAATGCCTGTCATAACAGCCAAAATGTGTTGGCTTGTAGATTCGAAGGTATCTACAAGAATTCCCTGTCAGATCACTTTTGTAATATCATCTCAGCAGTATGAAGCTTCCCCTATGAATAAATACCTGCATTCAGGCATGGGGAGCTAGCCTCCTTGATAATCTCAGCAATCTACTGGTAGTTAAATCTCTACATCTCATCTTGGCTTTTTTTGGGGGGGGGTTGCTTGACTACATTAAATGGTGGCAGTTTGGAGCAGAACGATGGGAACTGGTTTTCCAGTGCAAGAGACAGATATCTGAGCTGTCATCCCATTAAACCTACCTCTCACCAAAGGCTTCTCTCCGTCAATTGTAATTAGGCCATGTTCTATGCTAGAATCTGGAATTTGTTCAGTTGCATTTTACTGACAATCCAGATGGTGGTAATTGGCAACCTGTTGTTATCAGATGTTTTCTGTTAATTTACCCATCTTTATTCAGAGCTTCCATCTTTTCCCAGGAATCAGATACAATTTGGGGCAGTTTCCCTGATGTGGATTAGAAGAAGCATTATTGATGGTTTTCAAAACTATTGTGCCTTTAATTACAAACTTCCTCTTAGTGGCTTCTGCCTGATTGCTTCCTGTTCCAAATGGAACTGCAATTTAGATGTCTATTAATCAGTCTCTCTTTCCCCTGAACTCTAAGAGTTTTGATTACTGATTTCCTCTTTCTCTTTATGTTCTTAGAGTAAAAAAAAAGTCTTACAGTAGAAAAAAAAAAGTAATTATTTAAATTCTCTTGTCCCATGAGGAACAAGACCCAATTTATTTATGAGGATTCATCAATTATGCTGATGTTGTACAGTATAGAATGCAATTAAAAGCAGGAGCTGTGAGGTGGGAACTTCTAATTAAAGGTATGCTGGAGACTTTTGCTGACTCAAACTTACTTAATATTATAGAAACTCGTGAACACAAGCTCTGCTGCATAATATGGCACTAGGGTAAATGTAAAATAGAACTACTGTTTTAATTCTGCTTTCAGTTAATTTAGGGGAAAACAATGCCTCCCAGTGTGGAAGCAATATTGGTTTTTACACCAGCTAATCAGTGCATAATTGCAGTGTTTAAAGCTTTTGTAGTTTCTTGTCTTCTGCCTCTAGTCTTTCTCTTTTATTGGATAAATTCTCTAGTAAAAGAAACTGTCTCCTTGGAGAACTTGGCCATTAACTGCTCCAAGTTTGATGTACTGTAATATGAGGGGTCCTTGGTACTCTCATCATAAGTGTTACTAGTCATACTGATGATGATGATATTACCTAGTTTGGGTAATGAAACATCTGTAAGAAAACAACCTAGCACCAAGAGAGCACCAAGGACCCCTGAGCTCATCATTGATCTACAAATATTCTTTGTTGGTACTGAGGTAATCTTTATTGGTACTGAGGTACTGACAAGAGGTAAACCTCTTGTCTGCCTAAGCTTGCTTTTCCACAATTCTAGAACGTTGTCTCTCTTGAACCTGTTTCAGTGAGTGGGTGACTTACCTTCTAAACAGCATATCCGCCAAAGACCTGAATGGGTGAGTCCCCCAGGATCTTTCTTGTCTTTCTGGGGTGTTTCCTCAGTAGAGATATTAGTGGTATTGCAAATGAAGGCACGAGCATATAGCCAGTAATCTGTGCCAATGGCGATAATCATGAGACCAAAGGCAGCAAAGGCCCCCACAGTTGTGAGTAGAATCTGGACACCTTTCTCACACCAGACCATCCTCTCTTCATTCCAGCGCTTAAGTGACTCCAGCTTGGCGGTAAGAAACGACGCCAGTTGTTACAAATGCAAGCAACAGAGGCAGTGGTGATTATGGATGCCTTGCCTACTGTATCTAATTTCCTCTTCCAGTAGGCAGGATCTGGAATACAAGTTCTTTTGAGAAATGAGAGGAAGAGAGAATTTTCTTTTGCCTGGATGAATGTGATGGAGGAACCTGGATACAGAGTAGATTAAGGAAGATTGTCTTAGCAACGTCTGGAAAGCTCTTGAGATTCCTGCGAATTAAGCTGGTGGAAGTTCCTTTGGGTTTCTTCTGAAATGCTGTATCTTGGATGCCCCCTCTTCAGAAAAGGAGAATAGATGCACTTCAAGAGAGGTTTCAAAGAAGATACAGGAACATCTGAGGCAATTTCTGAACAACTTCTAAGAATTTTAAGAAAGCATATGGGGATAATATATGAAGAAATGTTCAAAAATTGTGCCAGTGAGATTGTGGAGGACACAATTGGAAGATGAAGATTGGATATTCAGCAGACTATGATATGTTGGGAAATCTTCGCAGAGATGGAACTTCCAGATCACGGCTGTCAAAATAGTGAAGAACTAGTGGAAAAACAGCTGGAAAGTAACCACAGGACATCTGCTGTTGGAATACCAGATGGTTATCATCAAATATCTAGATATGAATTACAGATTTTTGGAAGCCTACGAATCATCTAGTGCAGGGGTCTCCAACTTTGGCAACGTTAAGACTTGTGGATTTCAACTCCCAGAATTCTGGGCATTGAAGTTCATACATCTTCAACTTGTCAAGGTTGAGAAATTCTGATCTAGCATGCCACTAAGATTTGGTAGCGGGAAGAAGGGGGAGAGAGAACCAATAACTTTTAGATTTCTTTTTATGTCTACTGAAGAACCTTTACAAGCCCTATGGAAAAAATAAATATTCAAAAATATGGTACATCATGGTGTCTGCTAAAATTTTTCATTCACCCTTAATCTACGGCTTCAGGAAGTTTTCAGAAATGACTGAAAATACACCCAATATCCTTATCAAGTCTATTTGGTTTATTTCCTTTCTTTGCCTGTTCTCTACTTCCTGGGTTTTCGAGTATGAAACACCTTAAATTCCAGATGTGGCTTTTCAAGTTGAAGCTCGCCTTGATTTAAGCAACTGATAAATCTATTGCTTGCCACTCGATAAGGAGTCAGCCAATATGATTTCTGAGCAAATGGGGCAAAAAATGAAGAAAAATAAGGAGTTGAGTATAAAAGAGATTCTCATACAGAAAGAGTTCTTACACCATTCATGGCTGCAGTGCTAACTACATGCGTCCTGATCCTTTGAAACATTACTTATAAATATAAATATAAATAAGATTATGATTTAAATTCATTGCTAGTACATATAGTCCTCGACTTGCAGCCACAATTGTGCCCAGAATTTCCATTGTTAAGCAAGGGAATTGTTAATTGAGTTGTGTCCCATTTTATGACCTTCTTTGCCAAAGTTGTTAAATGAATCACTGCAGAGGTTAAGTGAATCATATGGTTGTTAAGTGAATCTGGCTTTCTCCATTGACTTTGCTTGTTGGAAGCTGGCTGAGAAAGTTGCAGATGGGGATCACATGACCCCGGGACCAGTGGTGGGATTCAGCCGGTCCTCTCTAGATCACGCAAACAGGTAGTGGCTACTGCTGGAGGCTCCGCCCACCCACCCAGACATAATGCGCAACTACTGTGCATGCGCAGAAGGCCGTGCACATGCACAGAGGTGGCACGTGCGCTCACATTTGCGAACTAGTAGGGAAGGTAAGTGAATCCCACCTATGCGCCGGGACATGTTCAGCTGCCTTAAATCCATGCTAATTGCCAAGCACCCAAATTTAGATCACATGAACATAGGGATGTTGCAATGGTTGTAAGTGTGAAAACTGGCCATATGTCACTTTTTTCAGTGCCATTGTAACTTCAAATGGTCACTAAATGAATGGTTGTAAGTCGAGGACTATCCGTAGCTTCAAATTTGATTTGTATAAAAACATTAGAATGAAAAGTCATAAAAGCGGTAGAGGTAGGCAGTAGAACCGGGCAGCAAAAATAAATGTAACACAAAAGCTAATTAAAAGCATCCCAAATATTATTAAGCAGCATGAAAATAATAGAATGTCGGGATGGATTTTGCATGGCATGTAAAAAGTTAATAAAAAATATGCCAGGAGGGAATTGAATGGTTTTGGTGCCACTGCAGAAAAGTCCCTGCATGTATACAAAGATGGATGCTCTCAAATCAAGATTTCTAAATCACATTTCATTAGTAGAGATTTTGGTCTGAGTGGCCCCCATTGCCCCCAGTGCTGACCAACACTTGTAACCATTTGGAGCAATAATGGAGATGAAGTTGTAATATCTAACATATTTGTTGATGGGAAATTGATTTTATATTTTCCTATTTGGAATTTTTTCCAACATTCTCCATCATATTTATGTGGCTGCAGAAAGGAAAATACAATGTGGTATTTTCCTTTCTACAGAGCTGTGGTGGCGCAATGGTTAAAATGCAGTATTGCAGGCTATCTCTGCCCACAGTCAGGAGTTTGATCTTGACTGGGTCAAGCTTGACTCAGCCTTCCATTCTTCTGAGCTAGGTAAAATGAGGCCTCAGATTGTTGGGGGGAATATGCTGACTCTGTAAGCTACTTAGTGTGCTAAGTGGTATAAAGTGGTATATAAATCTAAGTGATATTGCTATTGTTACATGCAAATAAGCAGACAAGCTGATGTTTAAAATGAATCAACAGAAGTATCTATCCTGGGTTTTCCTTTTCAAATTGCCAATACTTTACAATTGGTCCCCACTGATGGACTGGTGACTTTGCATCAGGTTTATCTTCTTTTCACATATGTCCTGAAATAAGACTCAGGATTAAATCAGCCTTGCAATTTTCCTATATTTCATTTAATATTCCCCACTGAAGGAAAACCTCACACAATTCTTATCATTCAGTTTGGCTTACAGAGGGAAATTAACTAGGCTGGATTATTTAGAATAGAATAGAATAGAATTTTTTTTATTGGCCAAATGTGATTGGACACACAAGGAATTTGTCTTGGTGCATATGCTCTCTGTGTACATAAAAGAAAAGATACGTTCATCAAGAATCATAAGGTACAACACTTTCAGCTCATAGGTTGAAGACATCACTATATCCAAAAGTAAAATAAATTTTAAAAAATAAAATTTTATCGAGAAATGGCTTTACTATATATTTATCCACCCTATATCTATAGCCACTGATCTCAGTGAGCAGAATTAAAATGAAAACAATAACAAACACTATAAAAATTAAAACATAAGCATCTGAGAAACAATAATTCAAATCATTAATACAATCAAGAATTGACACAAAATTATCTTCTGATTTTCTTGGTGTGGGAATAAAATCTCAGCCATATTAACATTAACTGGGTTTGTGAGGGTTAGTTCGAACAATGACTTAGTGAGCTATCACTACCAGGGCTTAGGGGTTTACCCTGCTGGTTGGCTGAAAGTTTTCTACAGATCTGTTTTTTAAATAAAGTGTATCTCATACTTGTATTACTTTGAAAATTGCTGTCAACATTAGAATTGCTATCTGCACTATTACCTCTCTCCCCTGCCAGTCATCTGCCTTCTCTCCAAGGTAAAGGGTGAGAAAGCCTACCAGATTTTACACATCTATATGTTCCCTTGGGCAATGTTAGAATAAGAGCAAAATGCTAGTTTAACCCGGGAAAAACCAAGGATGACTTAAATTTGTGTTGGCAAGAGATGAGAAATAAAGGTTACCTTATTTTCAATGTATAACACCTTCTATACTATACAGTCATCTAACCATCACTAGCAACTAACACCAATAAGGATAGAATTTATATCATTTTAAAATGGCTAGTTGATACGATGAAGATACTATAGGGCATGAAGGGGATGACTGGCCAAAGGAAATGCCTTGCACTTAGCAGAAAAAGATATTGCCAATCCAGTGTCTTACAGTGTTTTCATAGTATCACCCAGCTGATATCATTTAGGCTTAAGTAAAAAATGACCCTTAGTTAAGAAATCTAAAATAATATAGCAATGATATGTCTCTGACAGGTACATAATATTTTTCTTCATCACAGATTATACAGAATTACTACATATGTCTACTTATCTAAAGAAGATTGACCTAATGTCAGGGAGCATAATAATATTTTCCAATTATATTTACAACAGTGGAAATTTCTAGTTACAATTCTATAATACAGCATTATAACTGTTAATTTCTATAATGATGTACAGCAAGTTTCCAGGTTAAGAACATCCTGGTTTAAAGACCGCCCATGGTTAAGAATGGAACCTATTGTAGCAAAATGTGAGTTAAATGCACAATGATTCAAGTTAAATACACAATGGTTCATTTCGCAATACTATTTATACAGTATTATACAATAATACTGTTCTGGCTTACATACAAATTGGAGAAGACAGACCTTGGGACTGGAACCTATTGCTAAACTGAGGACTACCTGTATTATATAACTATACTTTGTTTATTATCTTTTTTCCTGTTTTTTTAATGTTTTATAAAAACACTATCCCTAGTTTTTGTATGTATCTGCATTATAATTATCTTTACATTTCCTTATTTTCTTTTTCCTTATTTTCTTACAAGCAATAAAAAATACATTGGAAAAAGAGGAAATTTTCATATCAATCCATTTTTGCAATTATAGTAAACTGAGATTATGCATGTAAAGACTTACTTTTCTCAAGTAGTATGAGCAGGACCTAAGACTGCCTTTTAGGAAAGTATACAGTAAAATCTTTGCTTCTAATCATTCTGTTTCTACATCAAGCTCCAATGGACCTGAAGCTACGATAATTATATTTTGGGGGTGGGGGGGTGGGGAATATGTCACTTCTGCAGAAATTTAAGTTTTAATTACCTTGCTTGTTCTCATAGTAAGTTAGATTAGGTTGTAACAGTATTTTGACAAGCTTGGGAATTAACTAAAGAACAGCTATGATGAGAAATAAGCATCTGTTTGCTTATATACTTCATTGTAAAAACTCTCAGTACTATTAAATTACATATTTTGAAGCAGAGCTGCTAAGAAGATCAGATCTAAGACATAGCAAACACACGATGTAAGAGATGCCTTACTTACAATTACCATATAAGAGATGCCTTACTTACAATTACAGTAGAAGAAGAAATTGAACAGAAAACAGTCCAGGGTGAAGATACAGCATATGAGACAATTGAAATGCTATGATTTTTGCATAAACCTATCACTTAAGCTCACAGCCTAAAAGGAAAAGAAATCCCATCTATATAAAGTTTTTACTCTGGATTCTTCCTCAGCAGAACCCCAAATGATGAGACATGAATCTGCAAAATATTTTGAAATCCTAAAAACTGAGTTTTTTTCCTCTGGCTGTACTGTACTTTGTGATCAGTGGATTCCTCTCTCTAATATCGCCCAGATACTAGAACACATTGCAAACCTGCCAGGATGTAAATGTATGCAAACATTAAAATCCATATGGTCGTTTTTTAGCTCTCCCTCCTTCCCTCCCTAGGAATTAGAAATAG